GGGCTGGAGGGTCAGATGCCCAGAGACTCCAGTGCAGGGGAGAGGAGCACAGCTGAGTCAGGCATCCGGGGCCAATGCTGTCTTTTCCCACGTCCCCACCACTCCCAGCCTGCCTTTCACACTGACCTTGCATGAGTAGCTGCTCAGGAGAAAACCGTTCTAATCATGCAGAAGGAAGTCAATGGGAAAGGGAGGAAGTGGGGGGCTGGAGAGACCCTCTGGTCCATCCTGCCAGCTCTTGCCCACATCCCCCAGCCTGGAACTTCTCAGGTAACTGTGCATCACAACCACTGGGAACTCGTCAAATGCAGATTCCAGGGTCCCCCCAGACCTCCCAAATCAGACCTTCTGGGGGTCAGGGCCCAGGGATTTCCATTTTTCACAAGCCCTCCCCTCCTGGCCCCAAGGCACGCACCCTCAGCAGTGTATGCTGAAGACCACACTTTGAAGAACTCAGCCTCACAGCCTACTCCAGACAGAGCTGAACAAATAAAATGAAGTCCACAGTATCCCAGTGCCTACCAGGTACACATCCATGAGGAACTATAAGATGCAGCCTCCCCCCTTGAAGGGATTACAATCTAATTGGGAGATAAAAGACACACTTTGTGAAGAGTTAAATGAAGGCTACAATAGATAGTAATTCAAAACCATAGGCAGGTAGGCTGGACAAATCGCCAATGAGTGGGAAGAACAGCATTGTTCAATGAGCACCTACAAAACACTAGATCCTGTGCTAAGTACTGAATCTATATATTCTCATTTAATCTCATAAAAGTTCTGGAAGAAAGGTATTTTTATCCCCACTAAATAATGAGTAAATAAAGGCTTTGGCTTATTTGTCAGTTCCTCTCAGATCAGCCTTCCCTGACCCTTAGGAGGTGGTCAGGTTGATGGCTCTGTTTTCCCACAATATCCCAGTGTTACAGCCTTTATCTCATTTATCACACTGTGTTGTAATTTGCTGTTATTGGGCTGGGTCTCCCACAGGACTTGAGGACAGATACTTGGTAGTTCCAGACTCTAGCACACAGTAGGTGCTCAGGTAACATTTGTTGAATGAATGAAGGTTGTGTGTCTGAAGTCTCAGAGCTAATATGTGAAGACTAATACGTGCGACTCTAAAGCCCAGCTTTCCCTCTGAGCCATTACAAGCGGATGGTACACACTAGGGGGATTTCTGTAAGGGGCAATCTATAAGTTGGAGTAATCAGAGAAGGCTTCCTGGAGGAGGTGGAGTTGGAAGGACAATTTGAATTTGGAAAGACAGATGAAAGGTGAGCAGTCATTCCAGGCAGCCCAAGCATGAAGGTGGGATTCTACAAAGTGCATGCTTCCTCCAAGACTAGAGACCCCAGGGGATTTCAGGAGACTACACCCCACCCCTAAGCCTTTCTAGCTTACCCACCCATTATCACCTTATATCTAACTTACATCCCAATTACTGCTGTTAAATTATTTTCCCCCAAGTTTTACAGGGAGATGGCAAATGCTCTATTGTTTTCCCATGCCTGGACCAGGGTGACATAATGTGTTCTATTAGTGGACTTCTCCATTGGAAAAGTCCCTTTTAATAACAAATGGGATAGTTTTCAGTTTTCATGAAGACATAGATCCATTAATGTCTATGATATATGGCTAAGTGGAAAAAAAAAGCAAGACAAAATAGCATCTTTAGATTTCATTTTTGTTAAAAGAACAGAAGAAAAAAAGGATAAGCACAAACACGATTGTGCACATGTGGAAAAGTCTAGAAGGTTATACGCCGAATTTAGTAGCAGTTGGCCCTGGAAAATGAACTGTAGTGAGATGTGGGGCTTTCATTTCTACTTTAGCGGTGTTGAGCTTCTGTCTTTTTAAACATTAATTTTACAATTGAAAAACAAGACCCTACAGTGTGATTATAGGTAGCTTTCAGTTTATTTGTGCTTTGTTCCTCCCAAATTTTCTACTATGAATATCCATTACTTTTAAAATTAAAAGCCCTTTCCTCCATAAATGTTGTTAAAAAGAAAAGAAATCGATTCTCAAGATGGCACAATTTGTGCAGCTGGGGGGCAGGAGGTTTGGGGAAAGTTCTGAAAGTATTCTAAACTCTGAGTCCCAAGAAATTTGGCACCCAGGCAAGCTAGGTGTAAACCAGTTCAGTCCCAACTTGGCAAAACATGTTCAGAGCTGTAGAATGTTCCAGATCCCCACACTCTGTTATCCCATCCTGGGGCTTCAGCTCAAGGAAATACTTAAAAAAAAAAAAAATCCTCTACATCTACTGAAGCTCACCATGGTCTTGCATTTAAGGGGGTCAGCAGGGATCCCTTAAAAGTCCAACGGCAAACATCATGCAGCCATGTCTAACAATAAACATGGCAGCGTTATAGAAATATAGGACTGTGTTTAAAAACTAATGCTAAGGGCCGGCCCCGTGGCTTAGCGGTTAAGTGCGCACGCTCTGCTGCTGGCGGTCCGGGTTCGGATCCCGGGCATGTACCGACGCACTGCTTCTCTGGCCATGCTGAGGCCGCGTCCCACATACAGCAACTAGAAGGATGTGCAGCTATGACATACAACTATCTACTGGGGCTTTGGGGGAAAAAAATAAAAAAATAAAATCTTTAAAAAAAAAAAAAAACTAATGCTAAGTAAAGAAAAATCAAACGGGATATTGCATTTACACTGTGATTATGGCTATTATGTATCTGTTATAATTAGAGTCAGTGAGAAAGAAAGGATGAGACAGAACGAGGGAGAGAAGGGCTAAGAGGGAGGAAGAGAATAGAAAAAAATATAAACAGTTACAGGGTTAGGTAATGGCATGATGGAGGATTTTTGGAAATGTCCTTAAACGATGTTTTGTTTTGTTTTGTTTTTATAATTTTATTTATTTATTTATTTTTTCCCCCAAAGTCCCAGTAGATAGTTGTATGTCATAGCTGCACATCCTTCTAGTTGCTGTATGTGGGACGCGGCCTCAGCATGGCCGGAGAAGCGGTGTGTCGGTGCGCGCCCGGGATCCGAACCCGGACCGCCGGCAGCGGAGTGCGCACACTTAACCGCTAAGCCACGGGGCCAGCCCTTAAACGATGTTGAAAGTTGTTTTGGTAGTAAACATGAACTGTACACAGGGGCTCTGTGACTTTGGCAAGTTACTTTTCTGAAACTTGGTTTCCTCCTTGGCAAAATGGGGACAATAATGGTACCTACTTCCTACAGTTGTTTTAAAGATTAAATGAGAGAACCCATGTAAAACTCTCAGCATCATGCCCAATGCACAACAAACACTCAATAAATGTCAGCTATTATTGTCATTGTTATTTCATCATTTTATCAATGAGGGGAAATTCTCATATGCTCTCTGTGGGAGTGTAAACTGCTAAAGCCTTTTGGAAAGGCAGTAGAGTAACAGATATAAACATTTTGGATACAAAAACCTTTTGTTCCAGGAATTTCATGTCTAGGAATTCATCCTTAGCAAATAATCCTATTAAATAATCTGACATGTACACCAAGAGATGTAAATGAGCATGTTTATCTCACAGTTGTTTATAATAGAAAAAGATTGGAAACAACCTAAAGATCCAGCAATAGTTATGTAAATCATGAAACATACATATAATAGAATGCTCTGGAGCTACTGAAAAGGATATGATACACCTTTACGCAATGATATAGACACATACCTATATCATTACATAAAAAAGAGGGTACAGAAAAATATAATCTCATTTATATAAGAAAGTATATGTACACATTTAAAAGTTCAGAAGGATAGATATCAAACTGTTATCAAGCATCCTCTCTGCCGGGACTGTCATTGCTCTGAATTATTTGAAATATTAATATATATAATTTATCATCAGAAAATCCACAATGGTGTGTGTGTGTGTGTGTGTGTTTATCGTTTTCTAAAAAATAAGACCCCTGGCTGGGGTAAGGAGTTCCCAGATTAGAGACCGAAGACTGGCAAAACAGGACAAAGTTGGTTTCATCAGTTCAGACACCACTCAGTCCCGAGTCTGGGGGTCAGCACCTGTGGTCAATTCTGCTTTGGATAGAAATGATGGGGATTCTTGGAGAGCTGACTCTGGAAAAGGAGACAGACTTGCAAAATTTTCCTTAATTAATAATAATAAGAAGGAGAGCCTTCATAGGGTGCTTCATGCTTTGCATCATCTGTTTGATCCAGAGAGCAGTCCCAGGAGACAGGCAGGGCAGGAGTCACCACAGAGGAGATGGAGTCTCCGAGTGCAGAGTGGTGCCAGAAGACAGCACAGGGGCAGGAAGTCAAGGCTCTGAACTCCTAGTCCTCCCAGTTGTGAAGCTTCTCCTAGCCTGTGTGTGGGGCACAGCGGGTCTTCAAGGCACCCTGGCCCCTCCTCCTCTAAGTGGGCTCCCTGGGCCCATGGGCTGCTGCTCTACTCTGCTCGTATTATCTGCACCCTTCTTGTGTTATTCTCCTTAAAGTGCTCTTTGCTGCAGCCAAACTCATTGTTTCCTTTCATTGTGGCCTTTCCACCTTCATCACCCTGTTCTCTCATCTTAGAATGTTGTCTCCCTACTGTCACAGCCTCCTCCAACGTTACTGTTCTTTTAAACATCCAAATCCTACTGTTCCTTCCGGACCTGCATCAAATGGACTTGGCTAGAAGCTTTTTTGGGAACGATGAGTGTCTCGCTCAGTGTTTCCTCAGTGCCAGTAGGTGCTTGATGAACGAGGGGCTGAGTGAGTAAATGAGGGATGAGGAGAGCATGGAGGCAGGCATGGGCAGAGGCAGGTGACACCTCAAACCTTGCCCAGGTGCTGGCCCTGGGAGTGCAATGGGATCACAGCCAGCGCTGCCCCAGGTTAATAACCTCAGGGCTCAGCCTCCAGGTCCTGCCCACATCATAAAACAGCAAGCGCCTCTTCAGGGGTGGGAGAGGGAAGTGGGGTGACTTAAGGGCTGAGCTCAGCATCTGGGAGCGTTTATAAGCCAAGGCACCAGACGCCTCCGCACCACGAACCTTCTCCCTCACTCGCGCGCTCTCTGGCCTCCAGCTCTCCCAGCAGCATGGCCTTCACCGGCAAGTATGAGATCGAGAGTGAGAAGAATTATGACCAGTTCATGACGCGCATCGGTGAGTGACCTCCTGAAGACCCCTTCCCCGGCTGCTCTCTCCCAGCCAGCTCTGGGCCAGGAACCCAAATCCTTGGATTTCATTTATTCACTCATTCACTCCTTCATTTGTTGAGCAACTATTTTGTTCCAGGCTCTGGGGCTAATAAGAACCATATGACTCTTTGACTTTAATGCACTCAGAGAATATTAGTTTCTCCACTTTCTGATGGAAAACTTGAGGCCCAGAGAAGTCGAGTTACTAGTCCAAGGTAACACAGCTAGTAATTGGTGAAGTGGAGACACGGACTGGTTTATTCATTCAAACATTTATCGAACACCTGCTATATGCAAGGGCCAACCCAATATCATTGATGGGGCATCTCAGCATGACTTGTAAATCAGTGGCAGAGGTCATTAGAACCCAGGACCCTATGATGAGATGATGAATGGTGTCACCACATCCTGCCGGGGGAGAGGTGACCAAGGGGTTAGCATAGAGACCAGGTTTGACAAGCCAGTCATTCACTCAGTCATTCAACAAACAAGGGCCTCTTACTGTGCTAAGCACTGTGGGCAGAGATCAAAGATCCCACTCCCCTCACTGCTCAGACTTGCAACACTGGTTGTGAGGAGCCAATGAGACAGTAGACTCGACAATCCTGCAGAAATCTTGGTGCGCTAAGTCTGAGGCAGTGCAATTGTCAAGGTTCAGAGGACAGCGCCAGGGGACCTGTGCCCTCCTCCTGGTGGCCAGGGAGGCCCTGAGAGCAGGGCCCATGTGCTCTGGATCCTTGGGGAGTCAAGAGCCCTTTGGGGTCAACTATTGTGAGTGGCCCTGAAGGAACAGTGGCTTGGCTTCACCTGCAGCAGTCTAGTGTGGAACTGGAAGTGAGCCAGGCTCGTTCTAGAGCCCGTTCTGCCATAAACCCCCACTGAGATGTTGGGAGGCCCCTTTCCCGCTCTGGGTCTTCGTTTCCTAATCTGTGAAATAAGAGCGTTAGGAGACTGTCTTGATGGTCCCATACATTCTAGAACTTTGTGAGCTTGGCAAATTTCTGTTATATTTATGTTATAGTACTATCAGAAGAGCAGCTGTTATTTCTTGTCACTTATATGCCAGGAGCTTTACAAGACACAATCACTTTAATCCTTGCAACAGCCCTGTGACATGGGCCTTATCATCCCCGTTTTGTGGATGAAAACATCGAGGCTCAGAGAGGTCGTGACTTGCCCACGCCACATGGGTCGTGGTAGAACTGGGGTCTGTGCTCTTCATCACCATGCTCGCCTGCCACAGGGGAGGAAAGCTCTTTCCCAAAGCCACAGGGTATAAGCAGCTCTGACATGGCTGCTCTGCTCGTCCCCGGGCCCAGGGCTCCCCACCGAGACTACTGAAAAGGGCAGAAACTTGAAGACCATCTCGGAGGTGCAGCAGGATGGGCAGACCTTCACCTGGTCCCAGCACTACCCCGGGGGCCCCTCCATCACCAACAAGTTCACCATCGGCAAGGAGTCTGAGATGGAGACCATGGGGGGCAAGAAGTTCAAGGTGAGAGCCGCTGGCCACCCCTCCCTCCTTCCCCAGGTTTCCGGCACTTCCCCTGGGGCTGCTCCCCAAGCAGAGGCTTCTTTCTCCAGCCTGGCCTCCAGCAGTAGGAGCTTGAGTTACTTAGCAATTTAACCGCTCCCGGTTTTTAAGGCTATTGTCAATAAGGGACACTATAATGACAGCAAAAATTGTTAACATTTGCTGAGCACTTAATCTATCCTAGACACTTGGTGAATACTTCACACACATTCATGCAGTTAATCCTACGAGGTCACTACAATTACTATCCCATTTTATAGATGGGGGAGTTGAGCCAAGCCATTGGAGTAGGTTGCCCGGTCACACAGCAGGGGCCGGCCTTCACACCCAGGCAGTCTGGCTTTAGAGAGCATAACCACTTTTTTATGCTGCCTCTCAGTACAGCCTAGAGATTGATAACCCCAGAATCAGACCCATCTGTGTTTGAAGCTGCAATCTTGGGTAGAAAGGAAGTAAAAGGTGGCTGTTTGCCCCCATCCTATCCGGACTGGTCCCTCAGGTCTTCCACCCATTCTGGGTCCCCTCTAGCCCCCAACCATGACCATGAGCACTTTGCTCCTCAGGCTGCCAAGGTGGAGAATAAGCAGTCATAATGTTCATATTCTGCCACTTGGGTATTTAAAAATGTTAACAATCTCTCATGGAGTGTTTCTGGATCAGCACATATTGATTTGCCTTATTCTTTTTAATGGCTGCAGTGTCCTATAGGATAGAAATGCTATCCTTTATTTACTTATTTATTTTTGGTGAGGAAGATTCGCCCTAAGCCAACATCTGTGCCAGTCTTCCTCCATTTTGTATGTGGGTCTCCACCACAGCATGGCCTCCGACGAGTGGTGTAGGTCTGCGCCGGGGAACCGAACCCAGGCCACTGAAGCAGAGTGCGCCAAACTTAACCACTAGGCCACGGGGCCAGCCCCCTATCATCTATTTAACACTCCTTCACTGGTAGATATTTAGGTCATTTATCGGTGGATCATCTAGGTTGGATACTGAGGTTGTTCACTCTTACAAACAATGCTGCAATTGATGTCATTGCATGACATCAATGTCATCCTGATAATGATGATCATAACTGACTCTGTAGTTAACAAGGAGCACTCAGCACGAGCCAGGCCCTGTTCTAAGCACTTTACATATGTCACGTTAAATCATTTCCTCCTCACAATCACTTTATGAAGTAGGTATAGTTACTACTCCCATTTTATTTATTTATTTATTTGCTGAGGAAGATTCGCCCTGAGCTAATATCTGTGCCAATCTTCTTCCTCTTCCTCTATTTTGTATGTGGGTTGCTGCTACAGCGTGGCTGATGAGTGGTGTAGGTCCATGTCCCAGATCCAAACCCATGAACCCGGGCCGCCGAAGCGGAGCGCACTGAACTTAACCACTATGCCATGGGGCCGGCCCACCACCCGCATTTTATTTAATTAATTTATTAATTTATTTTTTGTGAGGAGATCAGCCCTGTGCTAACATCCGCCAATCCTCCCCTTTTGCTGAGGAAGACTGGCCCTGGGCTAACATCTGCGCCCATCTTCCTCCACTTTATATGGGACGCCGCCACAGCGTGGCTTGCTAAGTGGTGTGTCGGCGCGCGCCCGGGATCCGAATCGGCGAACCCCGGGCCACCGCACTGGAGTGTGCACACTTAACCGCTTGCACCACCGGGCCGGCCCACACACCACCCGCATTTTAGAGACGAGGAAACTGAGCACGGCGAGGTTGAGTGACTTGTGCAGGTTATCTCTATCTTTGGATATAGTATGTGATCGTATATCGTATAAGGCCAAGTAATTCCCAGAAGAGGATTGCTGGGGCTGCGGCAGGCTCTTCCCCCCTAGTGGCTGGCCTGTGTTTGGGGGCCTCAGCCAACCCAGGCTCCGTCATGCTTCTCTTCCAGGCCACTGTGCAGATGGAGGGTGGGAAGCTGGTGGTGGTCACCCCCAACTATCACTATTCCTCGGAGATTGTGGACGACAAGCTGGTGGAGGTGAGTGTCCTGCTGGTTCCTGGGACAGTGGGTCAGAACAGTCTTCCAGCCCCAGCCATGGTCCCTGAGAGGCGGGCCTCTGGGCAGCCGGCTTTGTGAGCCCCTCCTTTTGCGCCAGACTCTGTGCCGAGCATGGGGAACACATTGTCTCATTGGATCTTCGCAATAACCCTGTTAGGGATTTTTATCCCCATTTTATAGGTGAGGAGACTGAGGCACAGGAAGGCTCATTGATTAGCCTGAGGGCACATAGCTTTTATGACCGAGCTGGGATTTGACGCTAGGCCATCTGATTCTGGTGCCCATACTCAGTCACCTCAGGGGCACAAGCCGGGAAGCCCATGGGACGCTTCCCAGAGTGTAAATGGAGGGGGAGTCCGGGTGGCCCCTGCAAGGGCAGCCACCACTCCCTTCCACTTCCACAAGGGACTTCAGACTCTCCCTGCTAAATCTTCCGATTTTTCAAGAGAAGCTGGAAATTTGCACCTCTGTGTGAAATCTCCAGCCTGTTAAATGTTGGTAACTAATTAAACATGTTTTTTTGTTTTGTTTTGTTTTATTTATTTATTTATTTATTTATTCTTTAATTGATGTTTTAATAGTTTATAACATTGTGAAATTTTGGGTTGTACATTTTTGTTTGTCCATCACCATATACATGTCTCCCTTCACCCCTTGTGCCCACCCCCCACCCCCATTGCCCCTGGTACCCACAATACAGTTTTCTCTGTCCATGTGTTGGTTTACATTCCACATATGAGTGAGATCATACAGTGTTTGTCTTTCTCTTTCTGGCTTACTTCACTTCACTTAATACCCTCCAGGCCCATCCATGTTGTTGCAAATGGGACGATTTTGTCTTTTTTTATGCCTGAGTAGTATTCCATGGTATATATACACCACATCTTCTTGATCCAATCATCAGTCGAGGGATAACTTAGGTTGCTTCCACGTCTTGGCTATAGTGAATAATGCTGCAATGAACACAGCGGTGCATAAGCCTCTTTGGATTGTTGATTTCAGGTTCGTTGGATAGATTCCCAGTAGTGGGATAGCTGGATCATAGGGTATTTCTATTTTTAATTTTTTGAGGAATCTCCATACTGTTTTCCATAGAGGCTGCACCAGTTTGCATTCCAACCAGCTGTGTATGAGGTTAAACATTTTTTAAAATGCTAGCAGGGCCAACACACACATCTGGGGACTGACCCCTTCCATGCTCTGTAAACTCAGGTTGAAGGTGCTGCCCCAGGAGGCCCTTCATCTCACTTCCCCTTGGGGCTCCAGAATTTTCCCCGGTGAAAGAAATGGACAGGAAGCTCAAGGAAAAGGAAGGCATTTCCTCACTTCATTCCCACTTTTTGAGCCTGTGTCCTGGGCCAGAGCCCCCTGGGGTCCAGTCTACCCTCCCCACAGCTCTGCAGAAGGGAAATGATGAGGGAGGCAGGGTTTGCCACCTCCTCATCTCCTCCTTCTCTCTTTCTGTCTCTCTACCCATCTCTCTCTCGTTTCCTTGTTTTCCTCATCTTAAGCCCAGTCTAGAGGAAAGGAGCATGTGGCCCAAGAGGCTCAGCACACTCCTATTATTCCCATCTTACAGAGAAGTCAGAGAGGCTCAGAGACAGGAGGCAACTTGCCCAAGGTCACACAGCTAGTTTGTGGTGGAAGCAGAGCCCATCAGCTGACTTCTAGACTAGGCCCTCTGCCTGCTCTTCCCAGGCCAGTGGGTCTTCTTTCCTTCCTTCATTTTAATTAAAAAAATAAAAATAAAAATAAATAGATAAACAATGTTTTAAAAATATATATATAAAGGACAAAAGTGACTATACATTTTTTCCTGATGGAAATTGACGTTTTGGAGGTTCTTTTTTGTGTGTGTGTGAGGAAGATCAGCCCTGAGCTAACATCTGATGCCAATCCTCCTCTTTTTGCTGAGGAAGATTGGCCCTGGGCTAACATCCGTGCCCATCTTCCTCCACTTTATGTGGGATGCTGCCACAGCATGGCTTGCCAAGCGGTGCATTGGTGCGTGCCCGGGATCTGAACCTGCGAACTCCGGGCCGCCGCAGTGGAGTGCGAGAACTTAACCGCTGCGTGACCGGGCCGGCCCCATCTTGGAGGTTCTTTTTTTTGTGTGAGGAAGATCAGCCCTGAGCTAACATCCATGGCAATCCTTCCTCTTTTTGCTGAGGAAGACTGGCCCTGGGCTAACATCTGTGCCTATCTTCCTCCCCTTTATATGGGACACCGCCACAGCATGGCCTGACAAGTTGTGCCTCGCTGGGCGCCCGGGATCCGAACCTGGGCTGCCAGCAGCAGAGCGCACACACTTAACCACTACGCCACGGGCCTGGCCCCCTTGGAGGTTCTGATGAAAGTTTTGGACACGTTTATAGATGAAATGTCAGCAGTGGGTTCTGACTCCCAGAGGCGAGGCTCCCCAGCCTGTGAGGTGTGCAGGGAGGACAGAGGCAGGAGAACCGAAGAAGATTTGTGCCCTACAAGAGAACTGATCTTCTCAAACAGAACAAACCTGTTTCTCGATTCCTAGAGGCTCCTGACCAGGGAGCCTGTGTGGTGTGAGCAGTGCCCAGAGTTCAGGGTTGTCACACACATACATGTACACATGCACACAAACATGTACACACACACATGCATGCGTGCACAAGGGCACAGGCGTGCACACAAACAAATGCACATGCACCAGAGAGAAGCCGTCTCGGTTGCAAACCTCCCATCTCTAGTGGCTCAGAATCATCCCGGACACTTCCCTCCTTCTCCGCCAACAGGGAGCGCATTTTGTGGGCATCCCTCCTCCTGCCTCCAGCCCACCACCAACGCCCCCTGCCGTGTCTCATCACCTCTCCTCTAGACTGAGCCCCAGCCTCCTCCCTTCTTTCAGCGTCCCCCCACCTCTCAATCTTCCATTCATCCCATATGCAAATCACACATCACTTCACACTGCTGCCTTTTGACAAAACTGCTTCCATGAAACTCCCTTTGCCACCCACTCCCTTCCCGTGAGAATGCTGCTTTCCTCTGCTGGGTATCAGGATCAACTGATGATGTGTTCACATCTCATGACAGTGTGTCTCGATAGCCTTGAGCCCAGGGCACGGCACACAGTGGGCCTTCACTGAATAGCATCCTCTTCCCTGCCTCTCCCACAAAACTTTTTTTTTTTAAAGATTTTATTTATTCAGTTTTTTTCCCCCCAAAGCCCCAGTAGATAGTTGTACGTCATAGGTTCACATCCTTCTAGTTGCTGTACGTGGGACTCGGCCTCGCGTTGGACGGAGAAGTGGTGCCTCGGGGCGCTCCCGGGATCCGAACCCGGGCCGCCAGCATCAGAGCGCGCGCACTTAACCGCTAAGCCACAGGGCCGGCCCTCCCACAAAACTTTATACTTCCAGAGGGCAGAGACCATCTTCCCATCACCAAACACAGGTGCTCCATAAACGCTGTACAATGCAGTGGTTGACTGTGGCCCCTCAACCTTAGAGGGGGTCACTTGACTTTTCAAACTTTCGTTTTCTCATCTGTACAATGGGTACAACCCTGCAGTGTGGCTGGGAGAGTTAAACGGGATAATTCAAGGGAAGTGCCTGGCTTAGGTGAACTGAAATGAACAGACAGCTGGACGGTTATCATGGGAAGAGCCACGTCACCCCAAATATCTGCTTAGCACTTTCACCACGTTGAGTCTGCACAGTGACTCGTGTAATAAATTGGGAAACTGAGGCTCAGAGAAGTGGTGCAGCTGACTCGCTTCTCCTAGGGGCTGGGACGGGAGGCCAGTCTTCCTCCAGCGGTGCCCATGGTCACCCTGGGGCCCCTGCACTGACTCCCTGTGTCCTGGCTGCTTCTTTCAGCTCTCCACCGTCGAAGGCGTGACCTATGAGCGCGTGAGCAAGAGGCTGGCCTGAGCAAGCAGCTGGGGCCCCCAGGTGGCTACAGAGCCACCAATAAAGCTGGAATGAGAACAGACGTTCTGCTCGCTCCAGAACCTCTTCGTCTTTGCTTTCATTTTCTGGTGTCTTGGGGCAGTTTCTGGCTGGGTGGGGGTGGGAAACCCCCAAGGATGGCTCCACGGGACAAACCCTGGCCCTGAGGTCCCCGTGGGATCTTCCTCATGGCAGAGGAAGACTTGAACGTGGACTGAATACTCCTGATTTCCCCGCAGAAGCCAAAGGCGGTGCTTACAAAGCATGGTGGCATGCTTCTGCGGACCCCTTGGCCCACCCTGCCACCCACCACTCTGTGGGTAGAAACAATCCTTCCAAGAGACAAATGTCACCTAGGAGGGGTGACACATTGACTCTTGGATGGGCCAACAGGACAAACGTACCAGAACTCGTGGGTGCGGGTGGGGGTGGCACTTCCAGCTGTGCAGACGCTGGGATGGACGCACCGGGGCTTCGCCAGGGCAGGTGTTTCAGCACGGCCGTGGCTCTGCCGTTAATTTGCTGTGCAGTCATTCCTTTGGGCCTCAGTTTACCCACTGGTATAAAGGGGGGCCAGGAGGTCTAATGAGGGACCGGGGAGAATGAGTCTATGAGATGGCAGAGGGGCAATGGGAGTGACAGGAGGGATAGGAAGGGACTGGGATGTCATGGTTTGGAAAGGGGGTTTGGGAGAAACTTCGAGAGCCTGCGGTGGGCTGTGAAAGGTGGTCAGAAGGGTTGCTCTGATCCCTTGGTGGGTGCCAGGAGCCCTGAGTCAGAAAGGCTCTAAGGGAGGTGGCACTTGGATTTAGCTGATGTCTCTGCCTGATTGCTGCATCTGCCCAGGGCATGGAAGATGGGGATGGAAGACGGTGGCCTGCTGGCCCCTTGGCTGCATAACCTCTAACCCAGAGGCCTGAACCGGCCTTTTTTCATTCTCTCTCCTTGGGAGTGTTCCACATCTGGGCACCACCTTGACTTCTTTTGACCCTATCCTTTTCTGCATGACTTATTTTTAAATTCACTTATTTTTACTACAGTGCAAACTTTACATCACTTCTATACATGGAAAGCTAAGATCCTTTGCCATAAATAGATGAAAACTATCTTAAAAATCAAAGCTGGAGCCAGCCCTGATGGTCTAGTGGTTAAGGTTCGGCTCTTGCACTGCTTTGGAGGCCTGGGTTCGTTTCCCGGTTGCGGAATCACACCACTCGTGTGTCAGTTGCCATGCTGTGGCGGTGGCTCACATTCAACTAGAAGGACTTACAACTAGGATATACAACCACGCACTGGGTCTTTGGGGAGAAGAAAAAAAAAAAGAGGAAGATGGGCAACAGATGTTAGCTCACGGCGAGTCCTTCCCTGCAAAAAAAAAAAAAAAAAAAAAAACACGTGGTTTAAAAAAAAAAAAAATCGGGGCCGGCCCAGTGGCGCAAGCAGTTAAGTGCGCGCGCTCCACTGTGGCGGCCCGGGGTTCGCTGGTTCGGATCCCGGGCGCGCACCGACGCACTGCTGGCAAGCCATGCTGTGGCGGCGTCCCATATAAAGTGGAGGAAGATGGGCACAGATGTTAGCCCAGGGCCGTCTTCCTCAGCAAAAAAAGAGGAGGATTGGCGGATGTTAGCACAGGGCTGATCTCCTCACAAAAAAAAATAAAAATAAAAATAAAAAAAAAAAATAAAAAAAAAAATCAAAGCTGAATGACGTTCACTTCTACCTAGATTCTGCTGCCTGCACAAAGCCCTGAGCCTGAGGCCCCCGCTTTGTGAAAAGGTGAGTGAGATGTAAAAGACACAGTCGCATCAGAAGGGAAACTTCCTCCTTGACTAATAACAATTCCTGCAAGACTGCCAAAAAGAGAAGTACTCACTATAAGAGTTGAATGATCTAAATTACCTTGAATATACAAGTCCCGCAGGTGGGACATAAGAAATAAGGTTGACCCAACCCCTCGCATGGGGTCTGGCACACAGCAGGCGCTTAATAAGTGCTACCTGACCTAAGGTCCTTCCAGCCCATGTAATCTACGGGCCTTCACTCTCGGGGCCAGCCTTGGCCAGGACAGACGGCAGGGCCCAGCTCACTGGCAGCTCAGGCCCTGCCTCGTCCACATCCTGCCCGGAAACTTGTTTATCTTTCCAAGAACAGCACTCAGCCTCCCGCAACCTCCCACCAAGCCAGGACCCCGTGAATTCCCTCATTTTGCCAAGACTTATTGCTAATTAAGTGAACTAGGTAAGCATTAAATTAAACTAACAGTGTTGCTGTTTCCCCTCCAGACTGAATAATTACTCGTAATGAGCTTGGATAATAAGTCTCTAAATAACAGAGAGTTACCCATAATTAGGCTGAAAATTGAGAGAGAAACAGAGAGAGAGAGGAGAATAGGAGAGGAGAGAAAGAGAGAAATTCGTACTTTGGTAACTGATTTAAGGACAAATTCAAATTATCAGTGGGAAGAAATTCTTAAGCCAGTGTTGTAATAGATTCACAGATTCATGAACTAACAGGACCTCAGAGCTCAGCAGTTTAAACTCTGTATTTCAGATATGGAAACTGAAGCTCAGAGAGGGGAAGAAATTCATCCCAGGTCACACAGCAGAGAGTAAGTCTCTGAGAGTAATGCGGGGTTGGGCATCTTTGGCTGATGGAGGCTTCAGTTTCTCAGTCCAGCTTATGAAGGTAAAGGGAGGAAAGTGAGCTGGAGAAAAGTGTCCATTTTGCTGGCATCTTGGCAGGGAGGCTTCCTTGGCCAGGAGAAGGGACAGTGGTCAGAGCTTCGACTTGGGAGTCACATTGCTAGGGTTCGAATCCCTCGTCTCCCCCCTAGAAGCTGTGTCACCTTAGGGTAAGTTCATCCATTTCTCTGAGCCTCAGTTTCCTCCCCTGTAAATGGGGATAATAACTGCACTCACCTAATAGAGTTGTCATGCTACAGACTCACTAAATATTAGCCACCGCCACCACGACCACCATCACCTCCATAATCACCACCACCATTCTCAACCAGTGTGATGAAAGGGTTAGGAGCTCCCCCTCCACTAACTTGTAAGGCCGTGGGCAGGCGCTGGATTTCTTGGAGTCTCATCTTGTCCACGTGTAAAATGGGCTAATATGACCTTCCCTTCCTGGGTCACAGGGGAGTTGCAAGGATACAGGGTAAAAATCCACGCTCATGGCATCCTAAACGTTAGAGGAGCTTCGTCACTTTGCGGCACTGTTCAAGATGCTGTAGTGACTCTCTACTCCCCAGACCTCATTTTGGGTGTCCTTTACCCCAAGCCGTTCATGACCTTCACCTTGACCTTCGGGAGTCATCGCTCCCTCTCTGCCAGGGCAACTGCTTCCCTCCCGCCAAGTTCATCTGGTCAAACAAGAGCTTCTCAAAGCATCTTTACAGCCCATTACTAGGTGGCGCTCCACCAACCGCCTGCTGCCCCACGGACACCAGGGTGTGAGTGTTAAGTTGGGGGGCAGAGGGAAGAGGGTGGGCAGTGAAATCCTGAGTGACTGGGCGTTGGTGCCAGTGTGTATGTTATATCTAGGGGTGACAATGTGGAGGCCACATGCCTCCTCAGTCAGGCATATCTAAGCGCCAAACCCAGTCCCACCACTTGACCTTGAGCCTCCCTGACCTTCAGTATCCTCATCGGGAAAATGGTGATAATAATACTAGCTCATGAAGTTGTTGTAAGGACAAAAGAAGAGTACAGGCGATAAGAGAGCATGAGGAAAACATCACACACAGGGCCTGGAACATAGTTAAGTCTCACTAAACAACTATTATGTGGTTGGTGGTTCTGCTGGTGACAATGGGCACACAGCGGGTCAGAGCTTTTAGAACAGGCAGAAGTGTCCAAAACTGGCTGTGCATGAGCATGTCCTGGGGTCCTGTTAAAAGGCTAGCCCAGGGCCGGCCCTGTGGCGTAGTGGTTAAGTGCGTGCGCTCCGCTGCTGGCAGCCCCAGTTTGGATGCCGGGCGCGCACCGAGGCACTGCTTGTCAGGCCATGCTGTGGTGGCATCCCATATAAAGTGGAGGAAGATAGGCACAGATGTTAGCCCAGGGCCAGTCTTCCTCAGCAAAAAGAGGAGGATTGGCATGGATGTTAGCCCAGGGCTGATCTTCCTCACACACACAAAAAAGGATAGCCCAGGCCCCACCCTAGACCTGTTCAACCGTACTCTTTAGGTACAAAGACCAGGTTGCTGCCACTGTGAAGTGCTTCCCAGCCAGGCGTGACCTTGGAGACTATGCCAGTCCCCACCTTCCCATTTTGCAGATGAAAAAACTGAGATCTAGGGCCGGCCCTGTGGCTTAGCGGTTAAGTGCGTGCGCTCTGCTGCTGGCGACCCGGGTTCGGATCCCGGGCGCGCACTGACGCACCGCTTCTCTGGCCATGCTGAGGCCGTGTCCCACATACAGCAACTAGGAGGATGTGCAACCATGACATAGAACGATCTACTGGGGCTTTGGGGGAAGAAAATAAATAAATAAATAAAATTTAAAAAACTGAGATCTAGAAGAGAAATGACCTGCCCACATCCACAGCTAGGGAGTAGCAGAAAGGCTGATTTTCTGTCTATCCTCCCTGTTGTGTCTCTGGCAAGCACAGGGCCTGAAACACTGGTCAGAGCTGGCCCAGCAGAAGCCTGACCACTTGAGTACTTCTTTTAAGGCTAGAGCTGGGTTGGAAGGAGGTGAAGCTAAGAGGCTTACCTGAGAGCCCAAAGAAGGGAGGGGCCCACTTATTTACATATTCCTCATAGAACACACTGCTGAATAATGATACCATATATTCCTTCCTGCCTTACAAATGAGGAGACAGAGGTTCAGAGTGAAGAGGTAGCTTTTCTCAAGGTCATCTAGCTAAGAGCAGAAAAACTCAGACCTTTCACCTCTCAGGCCCAAGATTCTTTTTTTTTTTTTTTAAATAATTTTTATTTATTTATTTTTTCCCCCCAAAGCCCAAGCAGATAGTTGTATGTCATAGCTGCACATCCTTCTAGTTGCTGTATGTGGGACGCGGCCTCAGCATGGCCGGAGAAGCAGTGCGTCGGTGCGCGCCCGGGATCCGAACCCAGGCCGCCAGCAGCGGAGTGCACGCACTTAACCGCTAAGCCCCGAGGCCGGCCCCCCAAGATTCTTGTCTATATGCTAGAAGTCTTGAGCTTCCAGACCAAGAACCACTCTTACAATGTGTTTTATTGGTCTTCGATTGTGTTAAAAATTTTTTTAAATATAATTTTTAAATGAAAAATTAGTAGATTTCTTAGAAGGTGCAGATTTGGAGTTTCTCTGGAAATCTGAAGGTTCGGTAACACAGAGCTTGCATCCCTGAAAGGTATTAATTGAGTGGAGCTGAGTAGAAGCCATGCCCTCTAGGGGAACACCGGCTTTAACACAGTCCCCACCACATCACACTGTCTCAGCCACCCAGCTAGACTCACTCACTATGTTACCTGTTCAGTCCTGGTGGGCATTTAGACTTGAGACTCCTGCCAAACGCTATGGCCTTTCTGCTGAAATTCAAGTCACAAAGGTCTTCCCCCAGGAACAGAGAATGAGGTCAACGAGGGCAGGTCTGATTCTTTTCCAGGTACTTGGTGCCAGGGATTGCCAGAGCCAGCCCAGAGGCGGGGTCCCTCCAGGAGATGCTCCAGGGAAGCCCCAAGCCTGGTCCCAGATCTTCACTTTCACAAACGGGGCTTGGGGAACCCCTCCTAGATCAGAGCGTATGGGGGCCAGACAGATGGACCGTAAAGCACATTAGCCCGTGGCAGATGTGTGAGAAGCTATATTTCTGTATTTATCTACTAGTGAGCATGCCCTGAGAACTCCTGCCACTCCGTAAATCAGGAGCATGAACGCCAGGCAATTCTTTTCTTTTATGAACCCACATCCATTATTCTATCATGTCTTCCCCACCAGGTGAGCGGGACGGCCAGCTGGTACAGCCACAGAGCCTTTCACTCACTTAAAACCCTTGACTGAGGCACCACGGGGCGGCTGGCAGATTCAGACTGCCTGGGTTTTGAACTGTGTGGCTCCTTCCTTCACCACAGCTGTCCTCAGGCAAATAACCTCTCCGTGCCCCCATTCTCTGATCTGTAAAACACAACTAATAATGTTGTGTAACCCTTGTAGGGTTACTAGGATGATTGTAAGAAACAATATGAACAAATTCCTTTTGGCAGGTACATTATACACAGTAAATACTCAGTACATGCCAGCTGCTATCATGAGCGCCGCCGCCACCAGGTGATGATAATATGCTGTATTTTCTGTTCAGGGAGGAAGCTGAGGGCACAGCCCTCAAATCCAGTAAACAAGTTAACAAGATCATGTCAGGTGGTTAAAGCTATGAAGAAGATAAAAGCGGCGATGAGAGTGACTAGGGATATCACAGAGACCTCTCTGGGAGATGACATGTGAGTTGAGGTTTTTCAACCTTGGCACTGTTGTCATTTTGGGCCAGATCATTCTTTATTGTGGGGGCTGTCCTGTGTTTTGCAGGATATTGAGCAGCATTTCTGGCCTCTCCCCACTCAATACCAGCCATACCCCTCTCCCAATGGTGACAACCAAAAACGTCTCCAGACACTGTCAAATGTCCCCTGGGGAACAAAAATGAGCCCTGCTGAGCGGCCAGCCCAGTGGCGTAGTGGTTAAGTTTGCATACTCCACCTTGGCGGCCCATGGTTCACAGGGTCGAATCCTGGGTGCGGACATCAAGCCACACTGTGGCAGCATCCCACATACAAAATAGAGGAAGATGGGCACAGATGCTAGCTCAGGGCCAATCTTCCTCAGCAAAAGAGAAAAAAAAAAAAAAAGAGCCCTGCTGAGAATCCCTGATATAAAAGATTAAGGGAGAAGAACATTCAGATAAGAGAACTGATGGCTTTGGAGAGCTGGGCATGAGGAAACAGATCCTTGACCCTGACCCTAATCCAGGCTTTTGCAATGTTGAGCCAATTCCTTAAAATAAATCTCTCTCGCTACATACATAACGGGTTCTGTTTCTCTGGAAGCCTGACTGATACAGTGGTTGAGCTGGGATGTCAAGCTGTACTCACTCCTGCTGCCTGTGTCCCCAGGGAGGCCCAGCTCCAACGCAGACAACAGGACGCAGCTCCACAGAAACCGGTCTCACTGTCACCCACCCCCACAACCTCTCAGCAGGAGAGGCGACTCCCACCCACCGGGGCTGATGGAAGAGGGCGGGGGGCTGGTCAAGAGAGACGCCAGGAAAAGAACTGCGAGACCAGGAGCAGGTGATGTGTTTATTGCAGGATGTCTTTTTCTGGGGGCCGGGCTGGCTGTGAAGCTCTATTGGGGGCCCCTCACAAGCGCCCAGCCCCCCAAGACACAGACACAATAACTTGGAATCCAAACCAGTCGCACATAAATAAAAGGAGGTTGGCAAAGGCAAAAGAGAAAAACAACAAACAAACGTGCAGTTTCCTACGCTAGTGTGACAACGTGGCAGCGCCCTATCCACATCCAGTCTCTCTTCTCATTCCCCTTCCACAACGAGGCGTCACCTGCCCTGAAAACCCCCTTCGGATTCGACTCAGCAGCCTGCAGCCGCCTTGGGGCAGTCCCCCTGCTGCAGTCTCCTGGACTGGCCAACGAGTCAAGCAAACCAACGTGGGTTCTTAAAAAACAAACCAAAAAATGCTTCCGTGGTTCTGTGCATCTCCCAGTTCTGACGAGTGAACAATGTGTCCCCAGACCCTGAACCAACCAAAAAAGCATGCTGAGCACCAGCTGCCAGTCAAAATAAAAACATATTGCACACGGTTACAAGAACCTTCCTGAGAGCCCTCTGCTGCAGATACCCAAATAGTGGCTTCCGATCCAATCGGTCACTGGCCTGTCAGTGGTGGTGTCACATACCCTTGTACACCCCCCACGCCCAAATCCAGTCAGCATTAAGCACACATTTCACATTATTATCCTTTGCTCTTAGCCAAACCCAAAGCTGAGGCTGGGCTTAACCTCACACACATAAACATGCGTGTGTGGGGGGTGTTGGTTTTAAACCTCTGTCTACATTCAACAACCTTTTTCCTCCGGGTGATTATCGAAGTTCTACAAGTGAACACAGCATCCAAGATGTGGAATCTTCTGGAATCGAGAGCCTAGAAAGTGGTTCTCCCTAACCATACGCTTTTGAAAAGGGAGCTCTGTTGTCACCCACTGGTCAGCCACAAGCCGGGTTACAACCTACAAACCCCCACGTGGGACAGTGTGGCAATCAACATTATTTTTCTCCTAAGGAATTTTCAAGTATCACAAAATCCCTGATGCAGTATGTAAACAAGACATCTTACTGAACAGAAAGCTAGGTCACTTCGGGAAGCAGCAGCATGTGAAATATCTAAAAGGCCGAATAAGGTTTTAGGTTCGACGACAAAGGCAAGACAACCGCCCGCCCACCATGCCTCAGAAGGCGGACAGTCAGGCATCAACACACCAGGCCCCCTGTACGGGGCCAGAGAAAGAAAAGCACCCAATACGGCATCTACTGGGGTCCTGAGAACACGTCAGGCTGCCCCTTCTTTTTCACTGATGTAGCTGCCATCGGCAAAGAATAAAGGAGTCTTTGATACTAAAAAGCAGACATGCTCACGGACTGGTGGTCTGCATCCAGTTCCCAGTCTCCTGGCCTTGTAGCAGGGCTTTCTGGATTCACTGGGCCCCCGCTCCAGGGAACAGCCACAGAGCCATCTCCTTGCACCCCAGCCACATGCAGAAGACGTCTTCCAGAGGAACGCTCTTGGGTGAGGTATGTCATTGACTGTTTTGCTCTGGGTCAGTTTTAACTAAAAAGAGCGTGGACCCTCTCCATTCAAGGGCAACGAGGCTCTGCGGGGACAGCCTCCCAGTTGCCTTGCTCCGCTGAGCTTCCCTCGCCAGTGTCCTCTTCCTCTGCCTGGGTCTCCAAGGCCTCCCTGCGTGGCCCAAAGGGGCCCTATCTATCGAAGCAGCCTGTGGGGAACGCGTGGCTCCCGCTGAAGAAGCTGTTTCTGTAGGTGGCAGTGAGGCAGTGCCTGGGCTCGGCTGCAATGGCCATCTGCATGCTGAGGGATGTGGGGAGGGGCACGGGACACACGTCCAGAGGCTGGAGGGTGGGGTATGGGGCATGCAGGGATGAGCCAGTGCCCCCTGAGAGCAGGCTCCCCGAACGGTGGCCCTGCAGGGAGTCCCGGTAGGCCAGGCACAGGTCCTGCACGGGGGTCTGGAACTGCACCAGGGCCGGCGTCGTCGGCTGACTGAGGGCAGCGTAGGCGGGCGGCTGGAACAGCACTTGAGTGGAGGCTGGGGGTGTGCCAGGCACCATTGCCAAGGCCTGGCTCTTGACTGCGACGGCATCCTTGAGGACATTGTCATAAGCTCTGAAAGGTAAGGACCTGGGTGAGACTTGGAGGTCTAAGGCCACAAGGCCTCAGACACCTGAGGGGGCCTCCAGCTGCCTTGCTTAGTGAGATCCAAGGACATCTGTGTGTTCTTAATGCTTGGCCTTGCCCAGCCTGTGCCCACCGCCTACCACTGCGCCTCAGCTGTTCTTTGACTTAACTCAGGCCTCAGATCTCAGCTTGAATCTGCTTCCTACAAACAAAACCTCTTCTGACCCCTCAAGATCAGCCCAGCTGTCCCTGGAGCCCCTGCACTGCCCCACCTCAGCAGTCAACACCCCAGGTGGTAACTTCCAGGGTACTACCTGGCCCCTCGTGCCAAGTGCAAGCTCTGAGAGGGAGGACCCCGTCTGCTTTTGCACATCACTGCATCCCCACACCTGGTACAGTGCCTGACAGAGACAGGGCAGAGCTCCTGGTCCCTCAAGGCACTTCTGGTGGCCCCATCCCCAGCCGGATCACTCCTGAGCCAGCAGATCCCAAGCAAGTTGCCCCTGGGGCCTAAGTTTCTCCATCTGAAAAGGGGGATGGAACAGGTTTTTTATCATCTCAAAAAAAAAGTTCCTCATAGAGCTTTTAGGGAAAACAAATCGATGAGAGGCTTATGTAAGAAAAGAGCAAAGGGAGGCTTGCAGCAGATCTGAGATGGGGGCTCTCCCAGAGCAACAACCATGGTGAAGAGGCAGGGCTGGTGGCTAAGTACCCAGGGCACCCATCCTCACTCAGACCAGATCACACTCTCTGGCTCTGGTACCTTCTAAAAGGTACACATTTTAAACATTTTAGAGGAATGAGACAAGGGTAGCCGGCAAAACTCCCCACACTGGAGGCTGAGAGGTGGCTCTTCAGGGCCCCAAGGGCTTTTGCTATGACCACCCTGCCCCACTCCCCCCGCAGCCAGTGCGGCCAGCATCCAGGAGATGCTGCCACCTGTTGGGTATAGGCAGGTAGGAGTTTTCTGTCCTCTGTCCTCCTCCCTGTGGTCACTACTTTCGCCTTGACATCGGTTCACGGTATGATGCCTTGAAGCATCCTCTCTGATCCACTGATACATCCTCTCTGATCCACTGAACATCTCCTCCCCAAGATTCCCAGAGACCCCTGCAAGGAGGCTGTGGCCTCTTAGGGTAAGCCACTCTGGCCTTAGCTGGCTAAGAGGTCAGCTTTGTGGCCATGTCTGAGAAAAGAAGCTTATAACGACAGTCCTTCAATGTGATCGTCTAGGAGATTATACTGGAACTCAGATCAAAGAACCCAGACATTTAGAAGGATGTGCACACAGCCCCTCTTCTCCCTCTCTCCTTGACCCTAAAATTGTAAGCCCAAAGCTACCCAAAAGAGGACGGACCAACTCTCCAAATCCCAATTCTATTAGGAGACCCCATGGCCCACTTTTACGTGAGACACCAGCTGGGGGAACCACCAGAAGCTCAGACCTCGGGCAACCGCCGGACGTGGGCCCAAGAGCAAGTGGAACCTGGATATTTCAGAAACACGGAAGGATCAGGAGGGGAACTTACATCAGCAGGATTTCGATGCAGGTGCTGAGATGCTCCAGGGAGTAATTTGAGATCCTCTGCAGGTCTCTGGTCCAGTAGGGAGAAAGCTGAAGGCAGATCCTAGCGGCCCCCACACAGGCTGCAGCGACCACCGAAGGCTGGAACTTGTAGAAAATATGATCTGAAAGGGAATTGCAGAGGGAGTCAGCATCATAAAGCCTCACCCTGGAGGCCCCAGTGCCCCCCTGGCTTGAGCCCCCCAAGAACTGGTAGACAAATGATTAGGTTCAAGGCTGTCATTGCTGCCACACACACACGATGAAAAATCAGAACAGTATGAAGTTCCATTTTTGCATCTTCAACGCCTTGGCTCGCAGTCTAGATTTCTGATGTTAGCCTAAAGCAAGTGATTTTTAAAATATTGTCCATAGCTTCCAGGGGGGCTGCAGACAGAACCGCCAAACATTTGTCCTTTCTCTGGTTGTTAGGGGTGAATGATACACCATTTCCAAGGCTTCTGTTGTGGGGTGTGACTAAAGGCTACTTATTAATAAACAAAGCCTGGCCCAAAAGAGCACTCAATAAAAATCTGCTGAATGAATGAATGGCTACAAGAGTTTGATCTTCATAACCGAAACTGGCACTTGACATAACCGTTTTCCGAGGAATCTTTTGTTCCCCTCAGCTCTACTGAAGGATGATTAACAAAAAAAAATTGTATATATCAGAGCCAGCCCTGATGGCCTGGTGGTTAAAATTTGCCACACTCCGCTTCGGTGGCCCAGGTTCAGTTCAGGTGCGGAACCACACCACCTGTCTGTCAGTAGCCATGCTGTGGCGGCAGCTCACACAGAAGAACTAGAGGGACTTACAACAAGAATATACAACTATGTACTGGGGTATCGGGGAGGAAAAAAAGAAAGAGAGGAAGATTGGCAAGATGTTAGCTCAGGGCGAATATTTCCCAGGGGAAAAAAAAAAAAAAAACAGGCCAGCCTGGTGGCATAGTGTTTAAGTTTGTGCACTCCGCTTAGGTGGCCCGGGGTTCACAGGTTTGGATCCCAGGACCGGACCTACGCACCACTTATCAAGCCATGCTGTGGCAGGCATCCCACATATAAAGTAGAGGAAGATGGGCAAAGATGTTAGCCCAGGGCCAATCTTCCTCAGCAAAAAAAAAAAAAAAAAAGACAAGTTATAATAGTAGCTAGCAATTATTGAGAGCTTATAAAAAATTATATATATTTAAGGTGTACAATGTGATGTTTTGGTACATGTACACATTGTGAAATTATCTGAGAAATCTTAACATCCTACTAAGATATCTGGCAACATGGCAAAGCTGGTACTATTTATATGCAAAAGCAAACTTGAAACTCCCACAGTTTTCATGAACGACACTTGGTCGTCAGTGTGTTATCAAACTGTCTTCAGTTGTTTAGGATTTTCGATGACTTCAATGTGTGCCTGTTACAGTATGAATCAGGCAGAGTGGTATTATGGTTACAGACACAGTTACAGACTCAGACTCCCCAGGTTCAAATCCTAGCAATGACCTTGGGTAAGTTACCTCACCTTTTGAGCATCAATTGAGGAACCTGATTTGTAGAAGGAGAACAGCAGAAATGATTATCATGTGGAGTCATTGTGAGGTTCAAATGAGATAATGTATGCAAAGCACTAAAATAAGGTGACTGGTACACACTAAGCGCTCAATTAATGCTTGATATCACAATTACTGATATTGTTACTCATGACCATTTTTGATCTGTAGTGGATCAGGTGGTCGTATCAACAGTATTTCTGAGCCAGTATTTTATCTAATACCTAGATTTTAAGACATTGGGAAGATGAGATTCAAATAAAAATCCCCAAACAGGGTAACCTTATTGCTAAAGCAGATGTAAACATAATCCCCTCCCCCACCTCATCTGTATGACGACAGCTCTTCAGAAATGACCCATACCTCAGGACCTGTGCTACTGAGCTCATCTGCAGTGTTCCAGGTTACCATAAGAAAAATCACCAGGTGATCAGTGAGTCTGTAGGGTACCAGCTGCCTGGATATAAACTGCTCTTTCTCTTTTTGGTGTGATTTGGTGACTTGGGTGGATGGGCCCCAGGCAGTAAGGACTCCTTGAGGACATGCCTCTCTGTGCCACCCGATCCTGGCCCGTGTGGGTGGGGAAGGGGTGAAAGATCCTGACATTGGGCCCCACCTTGCAGGGTGACCTCTAGGAAGTAGTGGGCGTACTCCTTGAGGCACTCTTTGGTCTTGCGGGGGCAGGTGGTGGGCCAGCTGTGGCAGTGGTGGTCCTTCTGGCTGACGGAGGCCAAGAGGTAGTAGTCCAGGAAATGGGCAGGCGTGGGCAGGCAGAGGTTCCAGCTGAAGGCCTCCAGGAGCAGCATCTCTGTGCTCAGCAGCTCCTTCTTGGTGAGGGTGAAGTTCTGGCTGCTCAGGATCCTCGTACTGTTTATCTGCTCCAGCTTGGGGACGTGGTCTTCCCTATCCTCGAACTTACCTGTGGGAGAAGCAGAGGTTACTGGAAGACAGCACTTGCCTGCACCCAGGAAGCGCGGGAGTGCAAGGTGGGGGAAACGGGTGAAGGGATCAGAAGGTACAAACTTTTAGTTATAAGATAAATTAGTCCTGGGGACATAATGTACAGCATGGTGACTGCAGTTCATAATACTGCATTGCATATTTGAAAGTTGCAAAGAGTAGATCTTCCAAGTTCTTGTCACAAGAAAAAAAATTGTACTATGTGAGGTGAAGGATGTTGACCAAAATTATTGTGGTGATCATTTCACAACATGTACATATATCAAATCATTATGTTGTACACTTTAAACTAATACAATGTTGTATGCCAATTATATCTCAATAAAACTGGAGGAAAAAAAAGAGAAGTGACATTATGCAACTTCCAGGGTGAGGCTTTGCAACTTCCGCCTTCGCGCCTTGGAATGGCATACTGAGACCTCCAGGGAAGGAAGCAAGTCTAGTCTATCGGAGGTGAAGAGACCACAAGGAGAACCAAGGTGTTCAGACAACAGCCAGCATCAACTCTGAGAAGTGTGAGGGAGGCCATCCTGGACCTTCCAGCCCAGCTGATCCTCCACCAACTGTGTGCGCAAGCCCAAGGGAAACCAGTAGAGGAAGCACCATGCAACCCACATCATTGCTGTTTTAAATCACTAAGTTTTGGAGTGTTTTGCAGGAATAGGTAACTGGAATAGGGACAGTAGCGAAAAGATGTGAAACCCCGCAAATGTCACAGAGCTCGGAAAGTACTGCAGGAACAATGAATAAATACTGGAAGGTCCTGGAAATAAACTGCATGAAATAAAGCTACACGGAGCTAAATACAAACAAAATATAAAATAAATATATTTTTTTAATAAATATATTTATAAAAAAATAAATAAATATTTATTTATTTATAGCTAAATATAAACAAAAATAAAACACGAGCCTTGGGTTATCCCACGGACGGGTCCAGGGAACCGAGCAATGCCTGGCAGTCACGGTTGTGGCGGCTCCAGCAGCAGCCTCCACTGTGGGAGGCTCTGCAGGTGGCTGCTGGGACCTCCCAGCTTCAACACGCCTCCCTCTGGGGAAACCACGCACACCTGGCTGTGGCCTCCGTCACTGCGGTTCTCTGAAGGCACCGTGCCCTCCTTGCCCACAAGCCTCGTCTATGCAGCCCCTCTGTCTGGAACGCCCTTTCCCACCCCCTCTTCACTCAGCCTTGTCCTTCATCTTCAGAGTCACCACCCTTGGAAGCCCTCCCTGACCACAGTGCCCACGTACCGCCTGACCCCCACATCAGATGCTGAGCCATGAGGCCTGGCCTCAGTCTGGTCACCTGTGGCCTCCAGGCCCAGCCTCGCAGGGTACAGAGCAGCTGCTGAGCAAGTGTCAGCAGAGGCCATGGGGCTGCCGGGCAGAGCTCCAGGCACACGTGTGTGCTGATCAAGGGAGCAGCGAGCAAAGCTTCCACACACCTGTGAATGACTGGGAGAGCCTCTGACCCAGTTCTCATCAGTCTCACGCTTCTTAGGAGAGAGAAGGAAGTAACTGCTACAGGCTGCCCTCCTGCAGACACAATACCTTTCTCAGGAAGGCCTCAGAAAACATCACTGAGAAAGGAAACACCGACTCTTGGAGGCCAGTGTCTCCATCTTCAGCGAGCCAGGCAACAGCCCACTAAGTGGGCAAATGGTGTTGAAGTGAAGTTCTGGTCTTGATGGGCAGGAGCAGAGCGAGTGGAAATGTACACACGGGAGCAGAGACGACTGCCGACAGGTTCCTAAGCAGCTCACGGCACCCACAGACTCCGTCTCCTTCCTGAGCCCTATCCATCACAGCTCAGCCTGGCACAGCACTGCCCCCATAGCATACACCTTCCCTTGACTTGCACGCTCGGGCAACTCAGGCAGGTAAAGGCAAGGTCCACGCTGCCCAAGGGGGAGAGCCTCTTGTACGGCTGGAAATCCTGGGGGCCTGGCTGACCAGGCCTTGCCGGCCTCCGCAGCCTCATCCCCAGGCTCTCCCTCCCCAAGCAGAGGATCCTTCCCCATGGAAGTCTGACCCCTCCTCCACCTGGGAGTGCTCGACCCCTCACCCACCGTGTCATGTGTCCTCCAGAGTTCAGCTCAGAGGCCAATGGATGTCATCAAGGCACTTCTCCCACTCAGACTGCTTGTTTAATATCAAGCATTAATATTAATGGCCAGCACCTGACTTTTAATAGGTCATTAATGGGTCTCAGCCCCTAGAGGACAGGAACCATGTCCAACCCATTCGCTGCTGTGCCCCCAGGTCCCAGTACATACTAGGTGCTCAATGAATATTCGTTCAGAGAATAAACGGTTCTCTCCGGATAGTGGGATTTGGGCCCATTTGAACTGTTCTCTGATGATCTCTGATTACCTGTATTCTCTCATTTTTCTCCAATGATTATGTATTTTGTGCAACTTAAAAAGAAAAAATATTTTTTTTGCAAAATTGTCAAGGTTTCCTTGAACCTTGCGCTGAACTGGGCCAACACTCTTCGCAGGCACTCAGTAGACAGGAGCGCTCTTCTTCCCTGGAGCAGAAGGTGGCCTGGTAAGGGTCACATCCCAGCAGAAACGTGCACTGCACTGCGGGTGGCGGTAAGACCCTTCCAGGGCATTGCCGGCAGCCAGCAATCCATCCCAACCAGCAGGCGTGCTCAGTCAGATTGGTTTCCTCCCTGCCCTTGGTGCTTTTCAAACCTTTCAGAGCTCTGCCTTTTCCCCAGCCACCAGGCCCAAGAGGATGACCCTCCAACAGAAGGTGCCACGGATGACTGAGGAATCTGAATTCACCGGCTCCCTCTGCTCCCCAAGCTGTGCTTTTTGGGAACCCACCACACTGCAGACCAGAGTCCGGGAGAGCTGGGTCTGAATCCTCAGCAAGTTGGCTCTGGACCTAACAGTATTAAATTCCACAGGCCATTTGTTTCCTATCCAGGAATATGCTCCATGTGGGGATGAAATAGCCAAGCCGAATGGAAAGTGCTTAAGAAGTGCCCAACAAACGGAAACGCACAGAGCCTCATGCTGGGCCGGGCACTGTGCTTTGTGCTGGACACGCACTGGATCCTCCCAGGTAGGTTCTGTTCCGGTCCCCGGAGGCTCAGAGGAAAAGCTCATGTGAGAACTTAGCTCCACATCCACGAGTCACCTCAAAGACCCTGCTTTTAATTGCTGGCCGGCAAGCCCGGCTTAGCAACTATTCCCCAGCAGAATACATTTCGCAGCCAGAAAACATTTTACAAGTTTCCTGGTGTTGCCCGTGCCTGACAGACGTTTCCTCCCCTCCTCCCATGATTGTGAATGGGGCCGGCCCTTTGTCCCCAGCGCCGCCACCAACAAGCCACCAAACACCGCCACTCAGCTGCTTGCTCCTTATCGACAAATGGCACAGACAACAGATGCCTGGAAATCTTCAGGCAGTCCCCCGGGAGGGGTGGGGGACAGAAGTCCACATCTTTCCAAGTCAGACAAGAGCCACAGACTCTCTTCGACTCCTTCGATACACTTTTTATTTGGAAAATTTTCAAATCCACAGAAAAGACAAAAGAATAGAACAATGAACACAGATGACCCTTCGCCCAGATGCACCAACTGCTGACACGGAGCCACATTTGCCGTGTGCGCACGCGTGTCTATGTGTGTGTGTATAAAAACTGGTTTTGTTAGACCATTTCTAATTAAGTTACAGATGTGACATGCCACCCCTGGACACGTCATCATCCATCCCTGAGGTCATTTTCCTACATTATCATAATGCTATTAGCAATCCTAAGAACATCAGCATTAATGCAATAACAGTTTCTAATATTCAGTCCACATTTGACTTTCCCCCAAGGGCCCAAAAAATGCCTTTTATAACCTTTGTTCTTTTGGATCCAGATGCAACAAGGCTCACACATGGTGTCTGTTAGCTCTCTTTAGTGACCTTTTTTGTTTTCATGACACCGACTCTCTGGATGACTCCAGGCCAGTTGTCTGTAAATGCCCCATCTTCTGGACTGCCTCATTGCTTCCTCATGATCAGACAGCGTGGGCAAGAGAACTGTGCTTCTTACCAGATCACCTCGGGAGTTATTTAACATCAGTTTGTCCCAGCAAATAGCGATGCTACGTTTGATCGCTGGGTCAAGGTGGTGGTGACATTAGGTCTCTCCATTTTAAAGGCACCATTTTCCGGGCCGGCCCCGTGGCTTAGCGGTTAAGTGCGTGCACTCCGGTACTGGCGGCCCGGGTTCGGATCCCGGGCGTGCACCGACGCACCGCTTCTCCCGCCATGCTGAGGCCGCGTCCCACAAACAGCAACTAGAAGGACGTGCAACTATGACATATAACTGTCTACTGGGGTTTTGGGGGTAAAAAAAAAAAAAAGGAGGAGGATTGGCAATAGATGTTAGCTCAGAGCCAGTCTTCCTCAGCAAAAAGAAGAGGATTGGCATGGATGTTAGCTCAGGGCTGATCTTCCTCACACACACACACAAAAAGGTACCATTTTCCTGTGAAATTAATAAGTAATCTGTGAGGTGACACCTTGAGACTCTGTGAATATCCTGTTTCCCAACCTTTAACTCAATGGTTTGGCATCCATGGATGATCCTCTCCTGAATAAATTATTACATAGGGGTTAAAAAAGAATTTTCAACAATTCTATCATTCCATCCACATTTTTCTTTTTGGATGTTCACAACAATGCCTTTTAGGACCCTCTGCACACCTGGCTGACTGATTCCTCCGGCCGCTCCCAAGGGCTGGTGCACAGAGCTCCTGGGCGATCCCCAGCAGGTCACACAGTTAGTGGACTGATGACCATGAGTCCAGCCACGTGGTCTAAACTCTTAACCACAGGACTAGGCCACAGTGGCAACACTGTCGATCCAGCGAGCCTCAAGAAAGACACTCACAAACTGGCTTTTCTTTTTTTTAAACGGCATTTTTAAAATTGTGGTAAAATGCACATAAC